GCAGGGGCCCCGACTCCAGCCAGCCAGCCAAGGCAGGCAGGCAGGGGCCCCGACTCCAGCCAGCCAGCCAAGGCAGGCAGGCAGGGGTCAGGAAGGGGCTGTGACGCCAGCCAGGATGGAAAATAATAAAATAAAGAAATAAAAAATGAATTGCTCTTGTCTAATAACAAGTCAGCTTCTCGGAGTGGGTCCAGATGAGGGCCGATAAGATGATCAGAGGGCTGGAGCACCTCTCCTAAGCAGAAAGGTTGAAGGAACTGAGCTTGTGCATCCCCATACCACCACACTGTGGCACCGCAGGTGTCCCGGAGGCTGTGTGTGGTCGGTGCCGACGCCAGGTCCTCGTGCGTGGATGCACAGACAGGAAACAGAAGGTCTAATTATTTAGACAAAGTTGCATGGAAGCCAAGATTGAAAAATGACAAGCTTGTAGCCTCTCAGGTACTTTCAGAAAGAAGATTTTGCTTTGCAGTTGCAGTCAGTGGTTAGATCCAGAACTCTTTCATCACAGGAGCCACTCATCTCCTCCAGGATGCAAAATATCCAAGTACAGCCCCAGTTCCCTACATAGAAGCTCAGAAAGTCAATGGGGCCTCGGGTGGGAAGACTCATCTTTTGTATTCAAAGCTTTTAAGGACAGAGCATCCTTGCTGTAGCCACACAACATCCAAAACAAAATGACCCTAACTACAAGTGCTACTGCAGCACAAGCACAAAAAGCCTTCTACGTCATTTCAGCAGACAGTCTGCTAGAAATCCAGATGGAAAGTATGTCCTGATGGTGACAGAAACTAACAAATCTCTACGCAAGCTTGTCAGAAATGAGGATTTAAACCAAAGGTGAAAGTGTTAAAAAAACAAACAAAAAAAAAAAACACCCAACAACAATACAGTTCCATCTGATACGCAGAAAGTCAGATTTTACCTTACAGTTCTTCACAAGACTGATCCATGCTATCCACTACGTTTTTTCTTTTGTCCATAAGATTTCAGCAAGACAACTGCAACATACTTGCCAGAGAGAAACAACAATGGTGACACAAACACCACAAAGCACAGCAGCTAACCAAACAGAAGGCAATTTAAAGATAAACTGTAGACCATTCACGTGAACATGCAAGAGGAAAACAAGGGCACATCATGCCAGCAGCAGCACCACAGTGAAACATCTTCAGACAACTGATCCTGCTTTATTGCACACAGCTCAGCATTTTCCATCCTGTTCCAAGCATACTGAAGTGTCACAGATGCATTCTGAATTCAGACAGTAACTGAAAAAGGAAGGAAGGTTAAGAACACTTCTGAAAGGACACATCGGTGTGAAGATTCTTGTGTTTGAACTAGAAATGATGATTGGTATGATGTCAGCCAAGAACACTGTCTTCATCCTCAATGAACAACATTCATAGCCACTGATTTTTTGTTCGTTTTAAACAGGTAAGTTGCTGGTACCACCAGTTATCACTGTAAGGTAAGGGTCTGGAGAGCAGTGAAGATGCAGTAACAAACAAAGTGGTTTCATAATTGCTTTGAAGCATGATGCACTTCCAAATTCTCTTATCCACAACATTCCTCCATTCTGTATACAGAGAACCTAATACTGCCACTTCAACATCACAGTCACTTCATAGTCCAGGATAGAAATTTAAACACGTTTTATCCACTTAAAAGTCAAGTGAGTCCTTAGCCTGCTGGCTCTTCGTCCATCCTATTTGCAAAGAGACCTTCTCCTTTATTTCCTGCTGAATGAAACACATCCAAACATGACATCACCTGTTAGTCCACATCCAGGAAAGGACTTCTAACACACATTCACCTGAACAAAAGAAGATTTTTGTGGTTATTTAAACGCAATCCTCTATCTGACAAGATGAAAGAGACAGGTAAAGAACCAAGCTATTAGCAAAGAAATTAAGTCTGTTAATTCCCAGAATCCTAACATATAGCTAAATGCTAACTTGGGAAAGCACAAATAAAAACCATACAAGAGAAATTTTGCTTAACAGAACTATTTAGAAAAGCCTACTGCTTCACTCCACCAGTCTTGATGACTAAGCCTGCACTTCCCTACTCACTTTACACAAATGCCTTTTTAACAAAAGGCTTATCAGTCTGAAAGACAGATCCAAGCACAGACAATATGCACTACAGCAGCTAAATAAGGAAGAACACGTCTGGGGGCAAGACTCCTGGAGCTAAAGATCCTTTGACATTATCTGTTCCTAGTCCTCACCTCCCATATTGCCTCACCTGACGTTGCAAAGAATAAGAAGATTCTGGACAGCTGGAAGGGTGGAATTTTCATTCTGTCCTGTCACCAAGTGCCTGTCCAGCACAACGTGTACAGAATCTGGTTGGCTGGCTGCATATAGGAGGAAAAAAAATAACAGGTGTGTTAGTGGACACTGCTTCAGTTTCAGTGTTTCACCTCATAAAACTAATGCAGAAGGTAACTACTGAGACCGGGGAGATTTGCTCAGTGAATCTATAAGCCCCAACAGACAGGGATGATCGTGAGCACCCAGTCCTGCAACAGCTTCACTAGAAAGCCCTTCTCTAAAAGGACAGAAGGACTGGTCCCTTGAATGGTAAGCTTCCACATTTAGCTAATAATGAACAATGAAATGACTAATACTGAAAAAATGAGATTGATCATCACATGTTTTATTCAGAGCTAGAGGATAACTGACGAGAGTAACCAAAAGCATTTAATATACTGCCTCCATTTCTCAACAAGGCAACACGTTCTGCTGAAAAAAAGCCCCAAATCCTCATGCACTTAACCTCTCCCAGCAGAGCACACACTCTCTGCCACGCAGCAAAGAAACAGCTACAGAACACTGCCTACACACAGACATTCCCCTGCAGGCATGGACTGAAGATCTGCACAGCAGTGGAAACTCTCCTGTGTCAAATGGGCATGCAAATGTTTATTTTCAACACGGCCACAAAACAAAGTGCTGGTCAACAAGGGTGACGTACCGCTAAACGTAGCTCCAGAATCTTTCACAAAGTCTTCCACAATAATGGGCAAACTGGCAAAATTAGGCTGCCTTATTAGTTCATACACAGAGGGCTGAAAAAGAAAAAAGTAATTGTCTTGCTTTTGTAGAAATAAAAGGTGGGCAAAACTCTGTAATATATATTTTCTGTTCCCAATACCATGAAAGTGAAACAAAGCAGAAAACTAAGCGACTACAGCTTCTATGGACTTTCCTCAGGTAGCAAACTGAAAATCCTCCTGCAACAAAGGAAAGAATGACACCACAGGAAGATCTGCCCCATGCATTTGATATTCAAACACTTCTTATTCAACTAGAACAGGTAAGCAGCATCTTTAACAGATATCATACCCACAGTTCTCCCCGCCCTCAGTTCTGAAGCTTTCCAAGGACTAACACACTAATACATTCATGTCCTGAATGTATACGAGAAATAAAGCACTCCCAGTGTGTGAGGCAAAGTGAAACAACCCCCTCACAAGTGGTGTTGGGCCCCCTTCTAATAACAGCTCCTTGAATGTAAATTAAGCACACCAAGCTGATGGATTTGTGTGTAGAAAGTTCTAGAATAAGTTCTAGCATAAGATGGCATCACCATTTCAAGCCACAGGGCCCCAGATAGGAAAAGATCCTTGTAAAAGGATAACAAAAAAATCCCAGGAAGCGAGATGAAAGCTCAACCTACCCCTGTCAGGCTGTATCCCTGAAATACCCAGGTTTTATCCTCATTGGTGGCACAACACAAAGCTGCAACACCATGTCCAACAGCACAGATAGGCTCTAGAGAAAGATCAAAGCACATTTAAGAAATTGTAAGCATCTTCAAACTGCCAAAAATACCAGTCTGCTGGGGCTTTAATGACTAGTCTGGTATATCCCATATTTGGCTTTGAACCTTGAATCCTATCAACCAGGAGAAAAGCATTTCTGTATCTGAGAACCTCCTCACAAAAAATATTTGCACAAAGTTATTTATTTGCACAAAGAAGGTACTATTTAAGTGAAGATACCCCCCAGAGGTAAAGCCACCTCTTTACAATTCTGAATGCTGCAACACTCCAGAACTACCACGTAAGCATTCTTCAGGTAACAGTCTTGCATGAATACTAAGTAGTAGGACTATCTCGTTTAGCAAAGTATCTAATTATCATAAAATCATTAAGGTTGGAAAAGACCTCCAAGATCATCTAGTCCAACCATCCACCCACCCCATTGTCATCCACTAAACCATGCTCTTTAGTTCCACATCTACACATTTCTTGAATGATCTTCCTGGGCAGCCCATTCCAATTCCTGACCACTCTTTTGGAGAAGAATTTTTTTCCAAACAGCCAACCTGAACCTCCCCGGTGCAACCTGAGGTCATCCCCTCTCATCTATTTATGGTTACCAGGTAGAAAAGGCAGACCCCCAGCTTCCACACAGCCTCCTTTCAGGAGGATAGTAAGGTATTCCCTGACCCTCTTCTTCTCCAGAAGAAACAATCCCAGCTCCCTCAGCCACTCCCCATAACACTTGTGCTCCAGACCCCTCACCAGCCTTGCTGCCCTTCTCTCCAGCACCTCAATGTCCTTCTTGTAGTGAGGGGCCCAACAATGAATACAGTAGTCAAGACGTGGCCTTATCAGAGCTGAGTACAGGAAATACCATCATCCCCCTGCTCCTGCTGGCTGCACTATTTTTGACACAAGCCAGGATGTCACTGGTCTTCTTGGCTACCTGGACACACTGCTGACTCATGTTCAGCCAAACACAGACCTGGGGGTGTTGGTCAGTTTCTTCCAGCCACTCTGCCCCACACCTATAGCACTGCCTGCAACTGTTGTGACCAAAGTGCGGGACCTGGCACTTGGTCTTGTTGAACTTCATCCCATCATCCTCAGCCCAGCAATCCAGCCTGTCCAGATCCCTCTGAAGGGCCTTCCTCCTCTCAAGATTAATATTTCCTCCCAGTTTCAAGTCATCTATGAACTTACTGACAGCACACCTCAATTCCCTCATCCAGATCATCAATAAACATTAAACAGGATGGGTCCCTGTACTGACCCCTGGGGAACACCACTCATGCCCAGTTGCCAGTAGGACTTCATTCCATAACATCTGCCCTCCGGGCCCAGCCATCCAGTCAGTTCTTTACCCAGCAAAGAGTGCACTTGTCCAAACCATGGGCTGCCAGCTTTTCCAGGAGAACACTGTGGGAGACAGAGTCAAAGGCTTTGCCAAATTCTAGGTAGCCCACATCAACAAGGCAGGTCACCCACTCATAGAAGACCGTGTTGGTCAAGCAGGACCTGCCTTTCCTATACTCACGCTGACTGGGCCTGATCTCCTGGCTGTCCTACACATGCTGTGGGATCTCATTCAAGATGATCTGCTCCATAACCTCTCCTGGCACTGAGGTCAGGCAGACAGGCCTGTAGTTTCCTAGATCCTCCATACAAGCCTTCCTGTAGATGGGAGTCATGTTGGCAAGCATTCAAACCCCCAAGACCTCTCCAGGAATGCTGATAGATGGTGGAAAGCAGCTTAGCAATCAACTTCACCAGCTCCCTCGGCACCCTCTGGTGGATCCCATCTCAATCCATGAACTTGCAGCAGTCCAGGTAGGACAGTAGGTCTTTAAACCCCCCCATGATTCAGGTGGAAACAATTATTCTGCTGCCCATCCCACACTTCCAGGTCAGGGGGTAGAGTACCCTGAGAATAACTGATCTGACTTTTAAAGACAGATGTAAAGAAAGCACTGAGAACCCCAGCATTTTCCTTATCTTCAGCAGTTCCCTGCTGCACCTACCAAAGGATGGAGATTCTCGTTAGCCCTCCTCTTATTGTTAATATATTCATTTAAGTTTTTGTTGCCTTTTATTACAGTGACCTTGTTGAGTTCAAGCTGGGCTTCTGCCTTTCTAATTTTCTCCCTGCATATCCTAACAACTTCTTTGTACTCTCCCCAGGTTGCCCATCCCTTCTTCCACAGGAGGTCAGACTTCTGCTCCTGGAGCTTCAGTTCCCTTTTCATCCACATCAGCCTTCTTCCCCATCAGCTCATCTTGTGGCACAGGGGACATCCTGCTCCTGTACCTTTAACACTTCCTTTGTGAAGAGTGACCAACCTTCCTGGACCCCTTTTAACTTTCAGGACTTAATCCCAAGAGACTCCCCCTTTCCCCCCCAGTGTCCTGAACAATTCAAAGTCTGCCTCTCCAGAAGTCCAAGGCAGCAGTTTTGCTGAGTTTCCCTCCTGACTTCACCAAGAAAATCTAACATCTCATGGTTGCACTGCTCAAGACAGTTCCTAACCTCTGCATCTCCCACCAGTCCTTCTCTGTTTGTGAACATCACATCTATGAGGCACCTACCTGGTATGCTCTCTTATCAACTGCATCATTAAATTATCTTCCACACATTCTAGAAACCCCTAGACTGCTTCTTCTGTGCTGTATTACATTTCCAGTACATGCCAGGGAATTAGGACTTCCCTATGAGATGATGTTCACTTACTGTTCTCTGTGCAGAAGTGCTGCAATATCTTTGCCAGGTACCCACTGTTTGCAAGGTCAGTCGTAGCCCCTGGGCAGTTTGGAATCAGCAGTGCATGGTATCTAGCACCTAGTATAGAGGAACAAAAAGTAACTTAACTAAAAAACCACCTGAACATAAATTCATTTCAGATTCAACAAACTTCAGACAACAGTGTATAAGTTGTTCAAAAGCTTCATAGTCTGAAAGAACTAAGGAAACTGAATGATCTATGTGGAATAGAAGAGGAGGTAGGAGTTCTTTGTCCTAGGACACATTTTTAATGAGATGTTTCTTACACAGACAAAGCTTAAAAGCCCTGTCTGCTACTTCAGATATTAATTTTCTTAATAAGCATTTTGCTAAAATATGACATAGCAGTAAGAAGGAAGATAAACGTGGTTGCTATGGCTTCCTCTTAAAACAAAAGCTTTCATGCCTTTTCTGTACCCTTCTTCTCTAAAAGCACAACACGAAGAAGAATCTGTTTCCCTGATAAATGGAAGTGACACATAAGCCAACAGCAAAGACCTTACCATCAATTGACTCCAGCTTGGCAGGGTTTGCATATGGCTTCATACGGAAGTCCTGTATCCAGCGCATGTTGCTCTCATTCACATCCACAAAATCAATCGACTTGCCCTAGTGGAAAAAAGGTTTGCAAATTACAGTTAGCATCAGCACACACAGGTTTCTACTACATTTCCTGAAGGACAGGCACGGGAGATTTCGAGATGCTTCAGGAATAGGCACCTCCAGCTTCTTCCGGCAGCCTGTGCCAGTGCCTCACCATACTCTGAGCAAAGAATTTCTTCTCCACATCTAATCTTTTACTTTACAAAATCTCCCCTTTTACTTTAAAATCTTCCCCCTTGTCCTATCACTACCTACCTGTGCTGCAATAAGGTCTCCCTAGAGCCTTCCCTTCTCCAGACTGAAGCTCAGCTCTCCCTCAAACTTCCCTCATTGGAGAGGTGCTCCAGCCCTCTGAGCATGCTCATAGCCTCTTCTGGATCTGCTACAACTCCACATTTCCCTTGTGCTGGGGGCCCCAGGTCTGCACACAGAAATCCAGATGGGGCCTAACAAGGGAAAAGCAGAGGGGGACAATCAACTCTCTTGCCCTGCTGGCCACCCCTCTGTAGATGCAGCCCAGGATACAACCTGTCCCTCTGGATGGCACTGCTTCCTTTCATTGTATCAGTTGCACCACACAGCTCAGTGCCATCAGCAAAGTGCTGAAAGTACACTCCATACCACTGTCTATGTCACACAGGGTTCAAGGTGAAACCACACCAACAAAGAGCAGGATAATCCCTTCCCTTGCCTAGCTGGCAGTGCTGGGCCTGATGTATCACCTCAGGGTATGGTTTGGCCCCTTGGGCTGCCAGGGAACACTGCTGACTCAGCTTCAGGTTGCCATCAGCAAGAACCTCCAGATCCCTTTCTATGGGGCTGCTCTCCTGCCTCTTGTCCCCAGGACTCTATGTATGTCCTGGATTGCTGCAGCTCAGGTGCAGAATTTGGCACCTGCTCTTAACCTGACACGCTCAGTTACTGCCCAGCACTCACATTTGTCAAAGATCCCTCTGCAAGGCTTTTCTACCCTTGAGACAGTCAACAGCTCCTCCAATTTAGTGATACCTTCAAACTTAGGATACACTCAAATCTTGCATCTAGACAGCATCTCTACATCAAACTTTGCCTTTACAGATTAAGCGCATGATCCTATAGAGAAGGGTATGATTTAAAAGGCACAAAGCATGTAGCTGATTTTGTCAGCTCACGTCCTGTTGTTTTCAAGTAAAAGCACAGGAATCATAAACATCTCCTGTTTATGCCATCAGCAAAATGGATGTAGACTTTTTTTGGTTGGACCTACAAAGCAGTCTTTGGGAGACTGCTGAGCACTCGCATACACAGCTATTTCCTTGCAGAACTGTGCTACTGAAGTCAAGGAGAATCTGCAAAACATGGTGACAAACTGAGAAAATATTGCTATTTGCTTTTGTTAATATTGCTTGGGAAACTGATTTCTGCTAGAGAAAGAAGCTCATAGAAAGGTACATCAGTTGCTCAATTCACAAACCAACACCCACCATATTCTGGCAGAAGGGATGAAGGTTCCAATAAAATAAGCAGTAATAGAGGAGATGAGAATGACAGTAGATGTTCTGATCTTCACTTCTTTCTCTGGCTGTTTCAAGGTATTTTAGAGGTGGCATTGCTGAGTAGTATAAATACGGATAAAGTAAGTTTGGCTTCTATCCAAGTTTGAACTCAAGGAATAGAAAGAAAAGTAAATCAGGATATGATGAGTCTATTTATTTTAACTACTTCCAACACATCTTGTTTTAGTCAGCCTAAACTGTAGGATTAATCTGACTGATAGACTTATTTAATAACCATGTTTGTCTCTAGCAATATGGTTGTCTGTTCATCTTCGTTCCTGTGTCTTGCTGTCTCTCAGTCTCAAACCGAGAACAACTAACTCTTCTCCTTTGCATTTTTTTTTGTTACTTTTCTACTACCACCCATGCTTCAAGAGAGATTATCTACAACTGCTTGAATACTTCAAGTGAAGAGCAGGCCTGAAGCAATGAGACACAGACATTTACAAATTGGAACAGGTTACCCAAGGAGGTTGTGCATGCCCGATCCCTGGAAGCATTCAAGGCCAGACTGGATGTGGCTCTGTGCAGCCTGGTCTGGTGGTTGGCACCCCTGCACATAGCAGGCCTATGATTCTATGGCTGCCCCTGCTCTGCAGGGAGAGATCTGAACAAGAGCCACCTGAGGAGCAGTGCAAGCACCCAGCTCATGCAGGAAACAGCTGCTGGGGAAGAGAGGAGCTTGCTAGCACCTGTCCAGACAGTGGCACCCATGGGTCCCCACCAGTCAATCATCCTAAGAAAGCCACTGCCCACTGCTCCAACTCTACCAGACTCTGCTGCAGCAGCAGAGAGGGAACAGTGCCAGCCTCTGGCCCCCTCCCTGCTGCCACCAAGCAGCAGACAGGCTTCAGGTGCCTCTCCTGCTCCTCTACCTTACACAGTATCCAGTTTTACAACTGGTCCATCTCAGCAGGACCTTCCCCGCACCTCATATAACAGAGTGGCAGGCTCCTTGGGCCCTGCCTCTCTTTACCTCATCCCTTGCAAGCCATACTGGCAGCATGCATGCTGATACAACCTGATGGGCAACACCATACCGCCCGAATTGCACCCGCAGCTCTCCCAGGGCGCATGCAGACAGTAAGCTCACACATACCAGGGATTTAGCCTGAAATCACAACAATTCCAGTTCTTACTCACCCCGGGAGTGGCAACTTGCAGGTTGAAGGCAGAGCTGCTCAGCGTGAAACACTGCAGGAAGGACTGGGCTGACACCCCTGGAAAACAGAGCCCAACAGCTGCATTGTACCGCCAGCCGGGATTTTACCTACCTCAGGTCATTTAAAAGCTCAGGAGATCGTCAGAATGTTAATTCAAGGCCCCGCGCGGGAAGCGGGACCACACGAACACCATAGGGCCGCGCACCGCGGAAGGGAGGAGCCGGTCTGACAGGAAAAGGGGCCGGAGCAACTCGCACAGCCGGGCCGGGAGGGAGGGAGGAGAGCGTTGGGCGACTCGGGGCTGCCCCCGGAGCGGCTCACCCGCGGCGGCAGCGCTGGCAACGAGGAGGCAGGTGGGTTTGCCGAGCCGCTCCGACATGGCAGGGACGGGCGGTGGTGCGCGGAGCCGGCGCCTCATGCAGCCGCGCATGCGCACTCGGGCAGGCGGAGAGCCGCGCGCCGCGACCCTTGGGCGGGAAAACTGAGGGCAGCCGCCATGATGGGTTGCTCTGCGCTGCCTTCCTTTAAACCCGTCGGCGCTAGCCCATCCGCATGCGCCGTGATGTGTAGTGGCCGCCGTGCTCAGGTTCCTTTCCGTAGGCTCTGTCTTTCCTCATTGGATTTTATGTTGATATTTGGCTTTTTATGACGGTTTTATATCCCGCCCTCTTCAAATTTGTTGGGCTGAAACGCTGAGTGCTTGCACCGACCTCCCTATGCAAGCGATAGCATGTTGCGAACGAAAAAACATTGTAATGTCAATGTATCGCCTAATATTCAGCGCCCAGACCAGTGGCTGAGGTGTTGGGTTTCCACCTTTCTCCCTAAATCCCTCTTCATCTGAACCAGAGCCTCTCAGTGAAGCCCCATGTCGTGAGATTAATAAACTCATCCAAACCTCCCAGAAAGTGTCCTTCCCATCCCGTCCTTCACGTGTCTTCTGATTCGTCTTCTCTGTGTTCAGTCTGGGATTTTAGTAACGTTCCTCAAGGATAACATTTATTGCAGGCATTGGCTGCTCTTGGTTACATGGTGGTGTGGTTTCTGTGAACCCTGGATTTGCGTTTTCCATCTCTGTTAATTTCATTGGTCTGCATCTTGATGGTTGTGAGTGTGTTACGAAGAAACTGTCACAAAATGATAGGTTATAAAATGAAAAGAAGACAATTCTGCTACTACTTCTGTGCAATTTTTGGAAGGGACCTGATTTCCAGCCTGGTTTCCTATAGGAAAGGCAGCTCATACCTCATGCTGTCTGTCTACCAACCTCGTTTTTTCTCAAGAAGTGTTCCAAACCCACAACCGTGTTACACATGGAGGCGCCTGGACACTCCTGTCTGTTCAATCTGAGCTCCCAGAAAATGATTAAAACCCAAACAAACTGCCTTATTCTCTGTATCCACCTTGCAGGGAACGTGGTGCTCCTCCAGCAGCTTCAGTCCTTGTGGTACTGAGCTTTGGATTTGTAGTCCTTCTTCCTTACCTGTAAATCCATTTTAATTTATTTTCTAAATGCAAGAGCAGAAAGCAAACCATTGTCTCAAGTTCTGCTCCACCAGCTCTTCCTATCCTCCCTAGACTGCCCAAAAATATAAAGCATGAGTGCACCTGGCAGTGATTTAAGGTGAGAACATACAGAAAGAAAAAGAAAAGAAGCATATGAGAGCCCCAATTCCTTAGAAATTAAATTATAGGGTGACCTCAACTCTCGATCTTCCAGTGCCAGTGTCTCTGCTTTGCACATGCAGAGAGGTTTTGTAAAAGCTCTTCTGTTCATTTCTCTTGCAGTGAGCACTCTGCTGAATGTGGGAGGTTAGCAAGCAGCTAGCACTGCTGTAGAATCACAAGGATGATAAAAAAATATTTGCTACTTCTCTCAGTTTGCTTTAGTAAAGCCTGGATGTTGCAGTTGTGTTGAGTTGGCTGAGTGCTTCCTCTTTGAATCTGGTGTGGTACAACATAACCACAGCATTTCTCAGGAGTGCAGTGATTTTGTATCATGTCCTTTTGGGCTGAATGATGGCTAGAAATGAAAAGAGAGGGGAAGAGCAGTTTGTAGCTTAGGATAGTTGCAAACATAGCCTTGCTTTACATGCATTTAATTTTTTTTTTAATAAGGAAGGATAAAGGTAAAGGAAAGACAGGAAGGATGATATCATGTCTGCACACCCATTTCTGCTACAAGGGCCTCTCTCTGGAAGGAAGATGCATTTCCCCCTGCATCAGTGCTTTTGAGCAGCCCAGGGAGGGCAGGAGAGGTTTCCACCCTTCCAGATGCTCACCCCTTCCCCACTGGCTCAAGGAACATTAAGCTTCACACTCACTAGCTGGAAGAGCAGGCATCTGCCCATCCCAGTTCCTCAGAGACAGGATTCCGATTCAGACAAACCAGCCTGCAGAACAGGGATCTCTGGGATCAGAAGGTGTTGCCTGGATGGCTCTGGATAAGTCATTCAGCTATTCTACAGTTCATCCCCTATCTGGGAATAATAATAATAATAATCTTCCTTGGCCTGTTTTCCTCAGGTAGGCTGGAGTTTATTCTGGGCAGGGATTTCATTTTGCTATGGTTCTTACTGGGATCTCTGATCCTAGCCTTCAGAAAACATGACCGTGGCTGAGGAGTGAGAGGAAGGGAGGTATTTTCACTCGCGTACCCGCATACACAAAGATGCTCACAGGAGGAATTATACAATATATCTATATCTGTATATATATCTCTATATATAGTTTATTTCTCACAATCCTTGTAAGAGTTACAGGTGTATTGGGAATCATTTACAGTTTCACAGCATATGGAGTGGCCATACAGCTTCTAATGTGAGTAACATACAGTGTGTAGAGAGTACACATTTCCAGCCCATCCACCCACCACTCATACAATGGGTTTTCAAAGCTAATACTAGATTCAGCTATGTAGAAAGCCTGGTAAATGTTAGGATACAGCGTTGGGTGTCGTACAACACTGTCAGTCACAACGGGACAAGCTAAACTACTTTAATTTTCAATCTAGTATTTCTAGTCTACCTGCATTATTGCATTTATACGCTTTTTTTTTTTTTTTTTAAGTCAAAGTAAATAGAATACTATATGGGAAAGGAAAAATTCTTGACTATTTTAGGATTTGAGCTGCAGCCCATACAAAGTGTCCATAGAAGCATAGACAAGGTTATAAATTCAACAAGGTATAAATTAGCTCTATAGCTTTGTGTGTAGGTAGGTGTCCATTTCCCTCCAGGAAATGTATCTAGCAGCATACTGTTTCTGAAATTAAAAAAAAAAAAAATAAAAACCAACCCAAACCTGTATGTTGAACACAAGTAAATATGTGTAAGTGACAAGCAGGTCTGCAGAGTGACAAAATGTCACTCTGAAAATTATTATCAACTGGAAAACACATCCAGGGACTGATGCAAAACCCACGGATGTCACAGCAGGCATTTCCCTGCTGCTAGTGGTTCAGCTTCCCATCTGACTTCCAGGGGCTTTGAGTCAGTCCCTGCAAAGTAACAGAATAAAAGCAAACTGAAAAGAAGAAAAGAAATCCCCTGTAATCGGACCTTCGAGTTCCCTTTCTACAATTTTAGTTTCTCTACAAGTTTATAAGCAACCTGCACCTACTACTAGAAGGAAGCTGGTTTGTACTGGAGAATTGAGGTTACACCTTTTAAAGATTTGGACTGAAAGGGTTATAACCAGTGACTCAGAAAAAGGCATCAGGCTGAAGAAGGGCTGCTCAAAACTGGATAAAGCCAAATGATTCATTTGTTGTTGCTGTTTTTGAAACAAACTGTATGGCACCTTGTTCTTATCACATTGTCCCAGAAACTTGACTGCTTGAAGCTGATGAGGCAAAACCAGGGATACAATGCAGGTCTTTACTGTTGCGGGGTTGATTAAAGAGTCCTCTCTTCCTGCTGGGAGTCTTGGTACTGGAGCATCATCATGCATGGACAGAAGGAAACAATAACTTTATTCTTGGGATCCTGCACTGCAGATTTGCATTATGAGAAATTAAAAACTAGAATGGAGTAGTCTGGGAATTTCAAGCTGGTAACAACTGGAAAAAAATAATGAGAGCAAGAGTAACATAGCCAAATGCTGCTGGTCTAAGTCCTATTTAATCCAAGTTATATTTTTCAGCAAAAAAGATCTATTTAATCCAAAGAGCACAGCCTCCAGGAGCAGAGAATGTGTCTCCCTACACACTGCTTGTCAGTGTCCAAACAGAACAAACACTTGGAATCATTTTGATTGGAAGAGATCAAGTCTTTACAAAGCAGCCAGCAGAATGAGAGTGCAGGGTAGAGCCAAACTCATGCATTTGAAAACCAATTGCTGTGATCTTTTCTGCATGCACTGAGTGCTAGCTTTTTAGTATGGTTTTGTTGAATGACGTGAATTTTCCAGGTCCAGCCGTCTCGTGTAACTTCATAAAACTCGAGCAGCCCAGTCAAAAAGAAACATTCCTGCGGTCTTCTGTGTCCTCAGTCCTGCAGCTTGTAGAGGATGAGGGCTGCAGTGCATTACCTACATATGGTCTGACTCTGCAAGGCCAGCAAAAATGCAGAACCTTGACTTCAGCTGAGAGCCAGCTCTCTGCCTGTATTTCTGGTGCTCCAATATGTAGAGTACCAGAGCATTCCTAGCTTCAGCCAGGTGTAGCGTTTGCATACGCTGCATTAGCATCTCTCCAATAGCCTGAATACCCTCACATCCAACTGGCAGGCAGCTCCTGGGTCTCCAGTCCCAGGAAGAGCTTGCAGCCATACAGCATTTCTCTGAGTAAGGACAAGAATGTGACCTTCCAGACACGGTTTTCTTCTCTACTGAGCTCCTGTGGCAGGCAAGCATCTTGCATTTCAAACCCCACAGCTTTAGCAACCGGGATAAATGAATACTTGGTATTTCCCACTGCACCACACAGTCTCTGTACTCCCTCTAGGTGCAGAGAGGCTGAACTTTGGCTGTATCTGTTAGGCGAGGCTGCCCAAAATCTGCCTCTGCACTGGGGCAGGGCTTCTGCCTCTCTGTGGAGAGGTCACATCTGCAGAGTTGCCTGGGAATACAGTAAAGTAAGTGAAGCAGCAGTAAAGAACAAGCAATGAACCAAATTTCTAGAAACCAATGGAGCCATGAAAACCTGGTGTGACCAACCTAAGAATCCAGGCTTTTAAAAGGAAAGTAGGTCACATGGCTGGAGTGATGAACTAAAAGGAAGAAAGTCTTCATCATGAAGAATCCTTTACTCAACAGGTTTAACTCCTCAGGGCCAATCGAGGTAATGTGATCTGAGCTAAATAATGCAAGAAGCAATAAAAGGCTAAAAAATTATGTTGGAACAGAGCTGAATGGCACGTGTGGCATGCTGCTAAGCCAGTGACTCAGATAAATTGCTGTCCCCTCAGCAGCACCTTGTATCATCATCTGGGCTGCTAAATTCAAGCTATCATAGTCTAGCTGAATGGCAGCTATCTTCTGGACAGCTGCATTTGGTAGGATGGACTTAGATTAAGCACTCTCTATCTTGTTTTTGACAGCTAAGGCTGGCGTTAACCTTACTAACCTTATTCTATGTTCCTTGCACTTAAAAATAGCTTCTCATTAATGATCAACACTTCAGAAAGATAAACTTTGCAGTAGTACTCATTTCCAGTTGAAATGGAAGCAGGAGACAATGGACAAATAAATGCCAAAAATGGTTACTGTAGTACATGAAGCACTTTGGGATAGATTACGGGCTGTAACGAGAGCAGCAATATTTAATCCACTATATGAGGCAGACACTGCTCACGTTGCCCTCTTCTGATTTCTTTGTAGCACACAGCTTGCATCCTGACGTATGTGGGTGGTACAGCGTGCCCTGGCCCCAAAGAAGTGGATAGGGTATAAAAATTCAAGGGTGCTGAAATAACGATGTCATGCTTTTTGCTCTGACCTGGTTCTCACCCCTCCTTAGCAACACTGACCCAAAGCTCTCTGCAGAACTGATTGAAATTCCTGGAATTTCACTCTTCAGGTACTCTTTTCATTGCCTCCATTGTTTGGTTTGTTTCTTGAAGAACATTTTCTTTCTCACAAATCTTCAGGATTGCTATTTTCAACCAGTTCTAAGAGTAGTTAGAACAAGGCAGATTTCTGAACCCTCATGGCATTTCCAAGAAAGGAGGGGAATTTTAAGCAGGAATCATCTCTCACCAGTGAGTTTCTTGTTTGTTGGTTTTTAAAGTTATTCTGATGGCTATTGGCAAATATCACTGTCCATATAGGCATGGTTGTGCAGATAAACACTTCCCTTATATACTCAGCAGAGGAATAAGAAGCTTTTTTGCCAATTTTGTGGAAACATGACACTGAAATGCCTTTGAATCTTCCAGTGACCCGCTGTCATAGCCCTGGTGCCAGTAAGACCCCAATGCCTGATCACAGCATGTGAAATTGATGGAAAAATCCCCTTTGTTTCCAGCAGCCTGTGGCTCAGCTGCTAACCTTTGATCCTACAAAGACACCAATCCATTTTCAATTTGTCACTAAACCAAGAAGTGCCCCAGGGCAAGCATCTGTGCAGTGTTTGTCATCCTGAAAGTGCTGCAATGTTATCCTTTTCTTCCCAGGTTTGTTTGCATCCTGCTGCAAAGCTGTTGGGGGTAGCACGACTTACCACAGCCTATTAAGCCAGCAGAAAGTGAAAGCAGACCTGTAATCTCTTCCATCTTTCTGAAAGATAGAAGCATCAAAAACCTTCTAAAAAGTTGCCCAAGAGAGTATACAACTTCTTTGAATCCAACCAAAACTTATGGATTGGGTACAGTAATTGAATCTATACTTTTAGTGATATGCTGCAAAGTCTGTGAAGTCAAACTTCTAATTTAGACTTTATCAAAAGAGTAAACTAGCAATCTAGATCTCTTCAAAACCCAAGTGCAGAACCTTATTAGTTTTAACCATTAGTTCATTCTCCCCATGGAGATATCACTAGAAGGACTTCATGTCACAAACGCCACACAAAGAATAACATCAAGCAAATAACAGCATGTGCTCAGTACGAGAAAAGACAACTATTTATTTAGCACAGCGAGTTCAGTCATTTAAGCCTTCGGCTTCTTGACAGCTTTGAGTTCAATCTCGCTTCGATGCTGAGAGAGAGGAATTTGCTCTTCTCAGCCTACTTCTCACTGGACATTTTCACTCAGAATGAAACCACCGCACAGCCGGGCACGTTAAGGCAGAACGGGAGGTGTTTGCTAAGAGGTCACTTGCAAGTGCGTGGTCCCAGCACTGGGAGCTCATGTGGCATCTACACTTCATCTGCCTGACTCAAGCCAATGCTAGACCCACACTTTGACAAGTGCTACACAGTCCATACAGTTCAATATAGTCTAAAAGTACCTTAACTTCAAGCGAGTAGCCCACACGACTATCCAGGGAGAGGAACAGTAGTTTTGAGCTTTTAGCAAAATGCTCATATGATACATTCAGCAGTTCACCAGCCATACATTCTTTGCACTGAGCAGAAACCAGGACCAAAGAAGCGTGGGTGCTGCGTGGTGTGATGCATGGCACAAAAAAGACACCATGAACACTGTGAGAATGCAGGGGAGCAAATGAAGTGTCACCTCCAGATTTTGTTTTGGTTTTCCCTACAAGGAATGTGACTTTACTGCGGTTGTATAGATACGTAAATATACAGACGCACACAGAATATTCTTCAAGGCAGGGTGGTGGTGCAGACACACTCACATGCACACGTAAACAGAGGTGTTTCTCAAATCAAACCAAAGAGGGGGGCTCCAGATGATAGGTCTGGACAGCAGTGTTAATTTATGGCAGTAAGCAGAAGATCTCTTATGGACAGGACAATTACAGTCCCTGCCTGGGGAGGACTGCATGTGGTTTTGTACCCAGAGCATGAGCTGCTGTCCCAGCACTGCCCCTGTGGGGTGTTTCTGGATGGGGTTACTGGCCTTGCACACACATGCCCTAAGGGCAAGGAGGCAAACAGGAATGGTTAAGGCCCACGTCTGCTGAGAATTGTTTTTCCCTTTTCTGTTGCCAAACTTTAAGCACAGAAAATGAAAACACTTCAGAAATAAAATAATAAGATACTCAAATGAGGCAGGCATTTCCCCCCTCTCCCCCTCATCTATCTATGCTGATCAGTGCAGAGTAGATAAATGCTGCATCTGTAGTGTCACACACTGCTAAAAATATCCCATGTCAGGAGAAGACAGGACTGGTGGAAACATCTCTTAAAGGCAGGAGTTGAAAATAGAGGCATTGGTCTGAAAATCACCAACCCTGCTTTGGTAAAACATGAATCAGAACAGGGGTGGCCAACTTCCCTTCCTCATAAGCGGTACAAGAAGAGTCCGTACAGCCAAAAGCTTTTTTCGAAAGGAAGCAGAGCCCAGGAATATCCATCCCTGTATCCAAACACCACTGGTTTGGATATGTTGCTCTGTACCCAGTGGGCAGTAACATAGATGAGGTTCCTGGCTGGACTGCGCCGCCTTTTGCTTCTGGCTTACACATAAGGACATGCCAAGGGCACTGCCAAAGTCTGGGTGCTCTGCATCACCCCCAAGCTCTTGGATGAGATGCAGGCAGGGAGATGCAACAGCCCCATTGCATCCTCTTGCAAAGCCCTGCTACAGTTTCTGCAAAGGTTCTGTGCTAGGACTGCTTCTGAGTTACTTTGTGCCTCACATCTCTACTTTCCCAATTCATACTCTGCTGTTTTTACCCTTACTTCACCCTTTCCCCCCCCCTCCAAAAGTGAATGACTGAACTGCAAAGCAGGATGAGGGGAAATCCATTCTTTAGACAGATGTGACGAGGCACCCAGCCATAGACCCTTCTGTTCAATCCCCCAAAATTCTCCAGGCTGTGACACACTGCTGCTTGAAGACATATCCACAATACAAGGAAGGAGTGCTTTGAACCACCAGGATTTCTCCAGGGCTGTTAGCACTCTTTCCAAAACCACTGTGAACTCAACACATACATCTCCTCTCTGTACTGGTGAAGGTAGAGGTAGACATTAAACTCATGCTGAAAGCAGCCTGTTGTTCATCAGAAGACAGCATCTGATACTCCCAGAGGTTCTGTGCCTTGGGAATATTTTATGAGCCTTGGGGAAAAGAGGGTGACCATAGGAGTGGCCATGCTATATTGAAAAGGCTTTTTGTCTGAAGAAGCTGTATGCGTTCAGCCAAACAAATTTGGAGGTAAATTAAGGAGACATGAGCCAAGAGAATTACCAGGGTCATACACATCTGCCATCCTGTCTAGTAATTTTGCCGGAAGCTGGTACTGCAAAGACAGCACCCAGGGAACACATGCCTTTCTCTGTCCTAGTACACACTGAATGTGCACATCTAGGCTCAAAGACACATCACAATGGCTCTTCAACTGATTTCTACTGAACTCACCCCACCATCTCATGGTCTTTCTAAGTATTACTCGAAAACCCCATTGGCTGCAACTTCTGTTGAGCTCCAGGGAGTCTGTGGTTCTGACCTCATCTAATCTCTGACATCATCTGAGCTCTGACCCAAGTGAAAAAGACAGTGCAAGATAAAGTGACCCACTTCTTGGTGTCAGGGGAAGGGCATCTGCCAAGGCCCTGAATCCTCTCATTGCCTGCCTTCCTTTTCCTTCTTAGAAGGTCTGGCTTTAGACCTGAGGTACTCACCAGTAAAACCAGGCTGCTCCCCAGTGCTGGGAATTTGTTTCCATTTCCAAGATGTGGAGGAGTCACAAATCCCTGCTACTGTCACAGGCGAGGAATCACTCTAGGACAGATGGATCTTTCCAGTGACCTTGATCAGGGTTTGCCTGGCATGATGCAGGTCAGTGTTATTTTTCATGGGATCCCAGCTCCTGTCCACCCCTGAAACCAGCCTGTGTTTCCCTTTTTCCCTACCTTCTCATGTACAGAAATGCCATAGCTTCAGTGGAAAAATACCAGCTGAACAGACTTATCCAAAGCCCCAAGAAATTAGCACAAAGAAACCACACTTTGCCCCCCACATAGGGACAAGTGAACTGGGTCTTCTCACTAGGCTCCATCTCTTCCCTCAAAACAAACTGAACAGAAAAACCAAAACACAAAGCAGGGACTCTGGATGGGACGAAGAACACTTTGGACTTGAAAACAGGGGACTGCAGGAGAAGTGGGGGTGGCTCCCAGGGAGGACAGCAGGGGAGGGGAGGGGACACCGTCATTTACACCAATCAGGAGAAGCTGTAATCTATACACAGTGGTATAAGCCAAGGTATATTACATGAAAAGAACACACTGAGTGCATGGAGTTACCCACATCGGGTCAAACTGGCACAGTGGTCTTGAAGAAGACCCTTGGAGTTGCAGTTGGTGTTTGACATTGACCTATCTAGCTCGCTCTCTCTATATAGATATGTATAGAATTTGTGTGCATGCATTTGTCTCAAAAGGAGCTGTACAGCCAGGCTGGGTTTCTCAGCCCACCCTGTCTTGGTCTTCATTTTTTCCGGGCGAGGAACGCCACTCCCACAATCACCGCCAGCGCCGCCACCGCCACTCCTCCAACGATGATCAAGGGCTTCACGTTGTCAAAGATGCTGCCTGGTGACTCCTCGGAGCCATTTCCCTTGTGGTCAGAGTCAGGGGACTGGCCAGTGGCCTCTTGTGTCTCCGTGGCGGCTGCACTGGGTTTCAGGTTGCTGTGGTTGTTCACAACAGCAGCATCGCTGCCCGCCTTCTTGGGAGCAGTGGCAGGATTAGGCTGTTCTTTGGGGGTATCCTTCTTGTCTGCATTCGTAGCAGGCCCAGGGCTGGGCTTTTCTGGCTTTCCAGAGCTGGGGGCTTTGGCATCGGGTTTGTTTCCACTTCGGATGTTACCCTTGGAATCCATCCCTGTGAGTGCTGCAGGTGGTCTGGACGCCAAGCACAAGGGAGGCAGTCCTAGGTCTTCTTTGCCTTTTCCTTGCTCCTGAGTGAAATAGGAGCCACAAGAGCAGGACAGCTCAGTGCCTGGGGGTGATCACCTTGGGATGATGTTCACGCTGGTGGTGTCCTACCTGGACATGATACAGCACCTGGAAGAGAAAGGAAAGCGATGAGAGCTGGGTGAAGAAGATAGAATGAGCTACTGGCATCCCGCCTGAAGAGGAGAACAAAACTGTGAGAGCTGTGAGCTGTAGTCAAAGTACCTACTGTAGTGCCTGCACTTGAGAGAACACCAAATACATCACACCAACCTTCACTGAAGTCTGCTGCAGCTACACTCCATTTACAGGATAAATCCCTAGCTGTATGCAGTGTCCTTTATCTGTGGCAAGATGTACTCATGTCCAACCAAATTTTAATTCCTTGATGCCTTCCTCCTGGGTAAAGGGAGAACAAGTTGTTCCGTGGGAAAGAAGATCAACAGCTCGTCCCTGACCATAACTCACCCTTGCCCTTTTTGTTTTGTAGAACTATCCCAACTGAAATTTAGGAAGTGGTTAATGTGTGATATCTCCATCCACATAGAGACTAATAAATGGATTAGGTTTCTCAATTATCAAAGCTACTGTAAGGCAAGGTAAGGGACAGAACCTCAGCTGCTACAGCGTGGTGTATGGACTCCAGTGAATCATTTGTGTTGGAAGGGACCTTTAAAGGTCATTTAGTCCAACTCCCTTGCAATGAACGGGGACATCTACAGCTCAGTCAGGATGCTCAGAGCCCCATCCAGCCCAACCCTGAATGTTTCCAGGGACAGGCTATCCACCACGTCTCAGTGGCAGGCTCCTGTCTCCTTGCAGTAGTTATCTAGGTTTGCCTACAAAACATCACCCATACTGCTGACAGAGATGAGCTGGAATCATTTTTTTCCAAGGAACTGATGAAAGCAGCCTAAAGATAATTCAGCAAGTTCACCTAAGGCAGCCATCTGGGCAGGGTGAGATGGGAGATGGAGCTCCCCAGCTACCTCCCTGAGCACAGGGGACAAGGAGAGGCTTGCCATCAGCACCACATCAGGTTTGAGTTGGGAAATGATGAATAAACAAGAGGAAGCCATCAGATCTGAGTCACCTGCTTCATTGTCTCCCAGCTGACCTTTGGTGCTGCCAAGGGCTCCATGCCTGCTAAGTGAAATATGAGCTCAGTAACTGTCTGGGTTTAGAAATAGAGAAGCTCATCAAAAACCTCTCCAGATAGACGTTGCTTCCATAATAGCTCAGAGGACTGATCTCTCCTTTAATGGTGGACAAGGAGAGGGTGCCAGGGTTGCATCACTGCTTCACACTGTTGCCTCTTCTGGGAACCAGGCTAACAGATGATGGGTTTTAAATTTCTGCCTAGGCAGAAATGATGGTCTGGAGGAGACCTACTCAGAAATGCTAGATTTGGGTTCAGAGCAAAACCAGGCAACAGTTTCCTGCTTGGTGCGAGAAACTGCCCTGTCTCCTCCTCTCCATGGAACCATTTCTTGTTCTATGGCCAGCATTTCCTCCAGCATCAGTGAACTGGAGTTAACCTGGGGAACTGCAACACCAAAATCACTGGAATCAGTATCTCCCATGGTACACCGTGCTTCTGGCCATGATACTGGTATGCTGTATACTTCCCTGAACAGAGAACATATTTCCCATTTGGGTGATGGCTTTGTGGCGTGGAGACTTCCAGAAGGCTTCTCATCTACCTCATATTTCTCTTTTAGGGCAGATGGGTTGTGGCTGAACAGGATTCAGTGAGGTGGAGCCTGAAAGCTCCAAGTGACTTCAGGTGATCCAAGCTGACCAGTTTTGAAATAAATAATTGAAAAGAGGCAAATAATCTGTACAAATGGTTTTATAACCAGCATTGAGCAGGATATTTGCTAGCCTTCTCCTTGGATTTTCAATTCAGTCTCACTCAAACTTCTCCCAGGGAATAGAATCAAACCACCTCTTCACTCAATTAAAACGCAGCAACCAAATGCCCACTTAGCTGCTCTACATAGGCCGGGTCTACTTTGTCTGCAGCTGAGCAACACTTACTGACATCACTGAGTTTGATATTAAATCATTTTGGGAACCCAAACTACCACCCCTCGTGCTTCACTGAAGATTATCATGCACTTGGGCATCTTGTACCACACAAACCTAATTGCAGATGCTCACTGAGATTAAGACCTTCCCCGTGGCCTGGGTGTTTGTAGATAAGCACATGCACTTGACCAGGAGTGTTGTTTTCCTTGCTCATTTTGCAATATCTCTCTAAATGACATCTGCCTTGTCTTTTCCTTCCTATTGCCTCCAAAGGACACTGATAACCAAGTCTGGAGGCATTTAAAGATGTTAAAGATGTGTAGATGCGATGTTTAAGGCTGTGGTTTCATGTTAGGCTCAGCACTGCTGGGTTAATGGTTGGACTTTATAACGTTGGAGGTCTTCTCCAATCTGAATGATTCTATGATTTCATAATGTTCTTAGTAGAAATGCTAAGTGCATCCAGAGGCATATTCCTATGTACTACAGCTGTGGTCATTTGCAAGGCTCTATTCTTCTGGTTTGAGGAAGAAGTAATTCTCATTTTACATCTGGTGCAGTGATGACGCAGGCCACGAAGAGAAAGTGAGGCTCACAATAGGAGCAGACTTTGAGGTTCAGACAGGGAGAGCCAGATTCATCATATCATAAATATTCAATTACCTACACGGTGACTTCAGTGGCAATTAGCTGGGCTGCTCACACTCCCTAGCATTGTGCAGCTATTCTGCTTTGCTAAATATTTGCTGTTTTCCCCTTATGCAGATTCCAGAGATTTAAGAATATTTGGAAACCAAACTAAATTGAAATTCACTATCAGCTGTTTTTAAGTGTGCATGTGAAAGGCTTTCTGCCAGCGGTTTCCCTCTGCTAGGAAGCTTTGCCCTGCACTCCTTGCTGGACTATGTGAACGTGCAGAACACGGGTTTTGCATTTATTTCTTCCTGCCAACCCAGGCTCTAAAAGCAGTACAATGCATTCTGCAGAACTGATCCCAAAGCTGGCAATATCCACCAGACTTCCTAATTTTTCTCTCCTCTTTCTAGCCCTATGCTTTCAAGGGCACCAGCACTGCTCATTTCCAAGCAACTCTGTAGCAGTCATCAGGCTCAGAGGAACAGCAATTTCCTCATTTTAGAAGGGCCTTTTTTCTCCTTCCTTTCCCTCATTCATTTCATCACATAAAGTTTTCCCTCTCATGGCCCATCTATCCACCTTTACTTTCTTCTCCATAGCTCATCACATCTATTTATTCCTCCTCAGCTGTTCTCTCCACGTCTACCCATTCCTCCCCCTTCCAGTTCCCTTCTGCCTCCCACACAGATGGTAGCACTGTAGAATGAGGTTTTCTGAGAAACAGACTTCATTCCCTCTGTCTCCCTGATTCTATGTCTTTGTTTAACAGTCTTTGCCCCTTGCAGAGAGTTTCCCACTTGCCACCAGCTCCCCCCAGGCTGGGAAAGGGAAGCAGAGAACTTGACACCAGCAATTAAGGAAAAAAAGGAAAAGCGCTCTGAATTCCTGCCCATTGAAGTCCTTGGCTAGTTCTGCTTGCTGCAGCTCAAGGTCAGTGCAGTCAGACCCATTACAACAAGCCCCAGACAAACCAACAGGGAAGGAGCAGGTTTCCCTGGCTCCTTGAAGGGCACCTTTTTTGCTTCAGCCCCCCTCCCTGCCCACCACATTAGCAAGCGCATCTATTCATCTGTCTTCTGTGTGTGCAGATGAAAGCTGCATCAATTCTGCACCAATTGGAGCAGATGAGTCATTGCTGGCTTTGCTGTAAGGTATCCCTCTTAGAAGGTCCTGTTCCCTGCCTCATTCCCGTGTCCCATAATCTTCTCCTCACATTTTTGAGTTAGAAAGAAAGCTGAGAAAATCTGCAAGGAGGAGCTGAGTGCAGGATGCAGTGTGAAGCTGCACCCCGCAGCTGTACGGGGTCTTCAAACATCACACTCACACTTTTGCTGATACTTGTACCGTATCAGCAAAAAACAATTCAGCTTACACAATGGGGCTATGCCTCTGAATTCATGCTTGCAGCCAAAAAGGACCATCCACAACCTCCAGGTGTCCTCCAGCTGAAAACATGGAATCATAAATATCCCAAGTTGGAAAGGACCCATAAGGATTGTTGAGTCCAGCCTCAGGAATTCCTACTGACTTCTATCAGGGCCATGCCAAAAGAACCTGAGTTGGCAGAAAAGACCTTAAAAATCTTCAGTTCTCCTTCCTTTACCTCCCTTTCAGATCTTTGTCTTTCTCACCTGTCTGGAAAAGCAATCGCCTAAAAGTTCACTTTTTCAGAATAAATAAGAGTGTGATAAATACCAAAGTTCCAAAGCTCCATTCTCCTGACGGTGAGTTAGCTGTCTTGGCTTTTGGGCAAGGAATTTAATGGGTCTCTTGGACTAGGCAAGCATTAATGCTTCTCCCTGCCCATCCCCACTGTCCAACAGCACAGAGAAGAATTTTCACTGTGCAAGACAGATGCAGAACACCAGTTGGTTTCAAGAGCTTCCCAGATCCATTTGCCAAGTTCGGTAGGTCTCAGCTGCCATACCTGTATTTTATCATTTAAGACCAAACCAACTTTCTAAGGAACAGAAAGTGGCTCTCTTCTCCAAGGAAGCTTCCCTTTACTGGGTGCAATTTGCACTTGCTGAGACCAGCTCACAGGACTTAGTTACCATCACAGATTCATCTGTTTGCACCAGCTGGTAGATTATGAGCAGGTAATTTTAGCCTGAAGTCTGCAGATTTTGTTCCATTATTGCAGACTGCACATAAACAAGGAAATGAGAATTCAGCCACTTCAGAGAGGTACCTGAAAACTTACAACTATATGACTTTCCCAAAGGGAGGAAATAACATCAAAAACAGCATAGTTCTTAGTACCAAATATAGGGCAGCTGAGGGACCAGGCTGTTAGAAACAGGGTGCTACTGGAGGATCAGTGCTGTTGCTGGCTTCCAACATGACCTCTGAATGTCAAAAACATGTGGAAATGGGATTTATGTCGTACTGGAGGCTGAGCTGACTGATGCTAGATCTTCAAATGGAAGAAAGCAAGGTTATGTTGAGTATTGCCATTACCAAGAGGTCTTGGCTGAGGTGGCCAGGGGGAAAACAGCTGGAACCACAAGAACGAGAGGTGGTGGCCTCAAGTTATTCCAGGGGAGGGTCAAGTTGAATAGTAGGAAAAAAAATCCTCTCAAAGAGTGGTGCTGCATTGGCACAGGCTGCCCAGGGGGGTGGTGGAGTCAGTATCCCTGGAGGCATTCAAGAACCATGGTGATGTGGCACTGAGGGACATGGTCAGTGGGCACGGTGGAGATGGGTCAGTTGTTGGACTTGATATTAGAGGTTTTTTCCAACTTTGATGATTCTAAGGTTGTGAAGCCCAAGACCATTCTTACAGCTGTTTCTTCTCCCAGAAATAGCCCATAGGCAAATGCCCCCAATACACCAAGGTGGCTTGGAAATGTTAAGAAAAAGCAGAGAGCTCATTTTGTTTCCCAGTGCTCCAACTCCCCAGTCCTGGTAGGGCAGACAGCCCTTCTGCCCCTGTCCGTGCTGCTGAGGCAACAGGCACATCAAAAGCAGCAAGATGCCATGCCTCCAGCCAGGCAGTGTGACGGCAGCGTACAGTGACTAAGCCATTTCCCATCTCCAAGAGGTGCTGTGGTGGCGGATGAGGTAATGCAGTACATCTCAGTGTTGCCATAAATCTCAGAACAGCTTTACGTAAAGAGTTTGTGTCATGTAGCTGGGAGCTTTTCAGCCACCTCCACTCTACTTTGGACTGCAGCGCCCAGCAAATGCAATAAAACAGCGTGAATGCATTCAGAGTGGGAATCGCATTCTGTAGAAGCTCTTTAGCAGGCTCAGTGTACCAGGGCTGGGCTGTGCAGCCCTCCCAAAGCACAGCCTGGAAGCAGCAGCACTGAGCTGCACCACTCACTGCTGCTGACCCACTTCCCTGGGATGAAATATTGATGGATCCTTCTCCCAACGTGCTGTTCGCTGCTTCTTGCATCCCAGATTAAATGCTTCCCACCCAACGAGCCCTTTGAATTTTGAGCATCAAGAAGCTGAGAAGCTTTCAGCAGGCAGCAGCCTCAAATCGCTGCTGGCAGTATCTGTGTCATGCCTGTGGCTGCATCAAGACCTGGAACCTCAGCCATCACATCCGCGGTCCTTGAGCCTCACAGGATCTGTGTAAATTAATGCTACAGTTCTGCTTTGTTACCTACTCTTACCCTATGTGAAAATAACTCCAAGAGCCCTAATAAGAGCTATAAACCTGCTCGCTGTCTTGTGCAGACAAACCCTTCTGCATGTGCCTTGCAGCTGCCCTGGAACATGGCAAGAAAAGGGAAAGCAGCATTGAAACAACCCAGGACACAGAATTTTGCCTCCATGGTGTCACTCCATGAGGCCATGAGACTGCATGAGAAGTCACTCCAGATCTCCGTTACTGGAACAAGGCTGTAGCCCTTACCTTTCAAAACTGCAGGGCATTAGATCCCAAGCCTTTCTCTGGGACAGCTTTGCTCAGCCGTCCTCCCAGAGCGCTGCCTGCTCCAGGATGAAGGCCACCACCTCCCCCAAAACCCTCAGGGTCTGCCCAGAGAACAGAAGAGCAATTCCCTGTTGTGTCCATCCAAACACCTAGCAGGAACCTCAGCAATACCCCAAATGCAGAAGTGCTTTTGGTACCTCCAAGCTTTGCAGTTCTATTTCCTTTACGGTGTGCCAAGAGAGGAGATGGGGAGAGGATTCACCCTCCTAATGCTGCTTTTAAAGCCCCATCTTGACAGTCATTGCTCCCACTTCTCTCTGAAGTGCAACAGACACGAGCAAAAAAGAAAGCAAAAAAAAAAAAAAAAAGAGGAAAAATAATAGGATGAGAAAAGAAAAAAAGAACAATAACAAAAAAAAGGGTCATCTCTGATACTGTACAATAGCCCCAGGGACTGCAGTAAGCAGCAGCGGATTTGGCAGCTCTCTTCATCTTACGGGCATCCTGATAGACCCTTCAGATGGAAGCCTCTCATGGCATCAACCCTGCTGCATCTCAGCTGTGGCCAAAAAGATTGCAGATTCCATTCTGCAAGATCTGAAAACTGTTGCTTTGCAGCTGAAATGTGAGGAGCCCCTGCAGGTGGATGGGGAGTAATTCAGCAGTGACCTTCTGGAGATCTGGGAAGTCTCCAATGCAGGAAGGCTGCCCTATATCCATCCTTCCTCCCCGCATCCCACCACGGATGGAACCGCTGCACCACAATTGTGGCCACCCGCCAGCCAAGGGATGAATATGTGCAGTTAGGGGAAATTCTAGATTTTTCTTCCTGCTGCAACTGCATGGGTGAGGGGCTGGAAAGATGGGAGCTGCTGAAGGTCGTGGCTGTGAAGGTCAGAATGTGGAGGTTGGTCCCCGTTTGGAGCAGGGAGCTCTGTCCAGCTGCATCCTCCCATTCCTCACAGCATCCTGCCCAAGTCCCATCCAGAAGAGGCTGCCACCACCTTCCTATGGCCCCAGCACCAAAGTTCTCCCAGGCTGATCTCGGATATGGCATAAAAATCCTCTCCCCCCTCCTCAGTGGGGACCAAGACCTCAGGCAGGGACCAAGCTAACACATCTCTGCACACATGGATGCAAAAAGAGCTACACAAAGAGGTGCACAAAGTGTTCCAGACACCCCTCATGCATTTCATTCCCATCTGATGTCCCCCTCCCATTTGGCACACTAGCTCTCCATGAGGAGCTTGATTTTGGTTTTGGTCTGTTTCTCTTTGTAAGCAACTTTTCAGCACAAAGCAGGGGACAATATCAAATGCTATCCGTTTGGTATCAGAAATATAGCCTCACCCCAGCAGAACAACCCCCAGCTCCTAACCTGGAAAAAGGAAACATTAATCAGCCAGGGCTATTAATTACCAGCACTGCTTGCTCTGCATAGCCTCCTGCCTGTGAACTGCTAGCAATTAGACATTTCACATAGCATGATGCAGGCAGAAAGGAGCAGGAACACAGCTGGGAACCTGGCAACAGCCTTCCAGCGCTGCAGCCTCCATCCCAGCTCCCTGCCTCTATCCCTGGTCCTCCCCCCATCTCAGCTCCATGCCTCCATCACAGGGCTTCAGCTTCCATCCCATTTCCCAGCTCCATCCCAGCTCCCTGCCTCCATTCCAGATCTGCAGCCTCCATCCCAGCTTTCTGCCTTCATCCCCTCTCCCAGCCTCCACCCCAGCTCCCAGCTCTATTCCAGGGCTGCCTGACCTTGAAGGACATGTGCCGAGATCCTTGCTATTTTGGGTTAAGACATGTTGTTATTTATTAACAGGTATTAAAATCTCCCTCCCCTCTCTCCAAACTCCCCCCCGGTTAGTGGTATGCAGGGGGAAAAGCAGCAGCCTTACCTCTGTCCTCCAGTGCTGGCTCTTGCGCAGAGAGGAGGGATGGTGGCAGAGGAAGAAGGGAGGGTGGGGGAGTGGAAAAAACTTGGGAGTTTCCCACAATGCACCTCTGCAGACCGCAGGAAGATGGAGAGCAGGGGAGGAGGGCAGAGAGTGCTCCAATCCGGAGGGGAGGGCTGGGACAGGATGCCAAGGGGAAGGGATGGGGGGGGGGGGGGGGGGGTGGGGGACAATGCACCCCTCATCTTCTCCCCGCCCCCTCCCCACAGCACTGAGCATGCAGCAATTGCAGCCACCAACTTGCAGCCGGGGGGAGAGAATGGGAGGGGGGCAGCCCGGCAATCTGAGATGCTTCTGAGTGTAGGGAAAAGGGGTAAAAAAAAATAAAAATAAAAAATAAAGGGATTTTGGGGCTCATGGCACTCAGGATTTCTGAGGATGTTGTTAGAAATGCTCTCATACAAGAAATGCTTTGTATAGTGCAGGGAAGGAAGCTAAAATGTTGTATGGGGGGGGGGGGGGGGGGGGGGGGGCTGTGGCATCTCTGTTCTCTTCTCCCTGAATCCTCCCAGGTTGAAATCACCTCACAGGACATTACTGGGGCCAAAACCTTGCATTTCCCCATGGCCAGGTCCTGGGACTTCTTGTGGGACTTTTAGCTGGATTTGATCAGGAAGTAAGGGCTATGATGCTTGTCCATGTTTGAAGCAAACTACAGAAAATCCATTGCAGGAGAGCGCAGGAGGAAACCAAGTGCCAGCACAGCACGCAGTGCTTCAGCTCAAGATGCAGCAAGGTGAAAGCAGCTCCTTCAAGGTCAGAGGGAGACCTTGTCTGTTGTATGGGCCTTGGACATTTGCCATAGGCTTCATGCAATAACTACAATAAATAATGTCATAGCAGGTGAAATCTGCAGTCGTCATATTTACTTATAAGCATTTTTCCCCTTCAGTATATTATGGTTATCATAATTCAGCATCTCTGCTGCTGGTCCACCTGCAACTTGTTGTCTGCAGAGACTGTTCCTGTACACAAACAGACCTGCCAGCATCACCAAGTTGTCATAATTTTAGCATGTTTTTCCAGTGCTGAGTCCGGAGCCCAGGTAGATGCAGCTTTTGAATGCCAGGATTCTGTGGGCTCCCTCGAGGGCTGTCGCAGCTAATAAGAATTCTCATTTTCATCTCCTGTTACGTGCTTTCTATCCTCCTTTCTCCAACCACACCTCCCCTATTTTATTCCATTATCAGAAAAATCACTGTCCACTGCAAAAGATTCTGCTTACATATTTCTTCTCCTAATAACGTTTATAGTACCCTATACTCCTAGTGGGAGGTTTTTTATTACAGTAGTTTCCACATTATTTATTCTGTTCTATAATAGGACTATTTGTCCTTGGTCATGTCTAGCTCTCATCGATGAAGCTTGCCTTTGGTTTATTATTAGTATGCTGCGTCCATACCTGATCATTACAACTGGTTTCTTTCTCAACAGTGTGATATGCACCTCGGTCAGCCAGAGCAGGACTGAGAAGATCTGATTGTTGTAAGGTCTGTATGGTAATTCTCCTGTCCATTAGTATTAATGCCCACTGCTACGCACATAGACGGCACTCCGCTGGGCAGCCTGATCCACAGCAGGGGTTGGAAATGAATGATCTTTAAGGTCCCTTCCAACCCAACCATTCCATGGTTCTATGATCCTTAAGACCCCTTCCAAACCAAACACTCTGTGGTTCTGTGATCTTTAAGGACCCTTCCAACCCAACCATTTTATGGTTCTGTGATATGATTCTGCTGCTCTCGTAGCTAGCATAGCATCCATTAAGACTATTTTTCATTATTCTCAGGAGACAATAATTTGAACAAGTTGCTGAAGTGAGCCTGTGTCCTACAGGTGCATTAGGAAGCCCTAGTATTGCCAGTGAAGGGTTTTATCTCTTCTCTTCAAAAAAAAACCCTGAAAAATGATTCTTCAGCAAGCAGGGTGGCAAAGAAACGGTTGGAGCTATAATTGAAAACCACTTGTTGTCTGCTGGTAGCTTAGCAATAATCACTGCCTTGCTAAAATAGGAGCAGTTCTCATGGTGAACACGTTTATTTGGCAGCACTCCATTGTCATTTGTCAGGATTTCCCATCAGCCTCGCTAATGGGACACAGTGAAAAATTATACAGGTTTATAATTTGTCAAGAAATGTTGTTTAAAACAGTCCTCAAAGATTTGGCTTTGGCTTCTTCAAGGCGTGACCAGAAGATGCCTGACTTCAGCTTGGGCGCTGCATTTTCCCCAGGGCCGATCTTTCTGCCATGCCTGCAGAGTGGCTGTTAGAGTACTGTGAATCTGTCTCTTACTGCTTATCTCTGTCCTCTGGCCCTTTAGAATGGCTTTTTAATGTTTCTTGTATTACTTGTACAGAAATACATCTCTTCGGGTGTTCTACTCCTACCATCACCATTCCCATCCATCCCCTCTCCTCTGTTATCCACCTCCCTCCTTGCTGAAAGCCACTTATCCCATGTTAAATTTTACCCTTTTCTCCTGAACCTAGCTCATAACTGCTAGCAACCCTGTATGATCTCTGCCAGGGAATTTCCCCATGTTATGCTTTTGGGCAGAACGTTCTTGTGCTTCATTGCCAGAGCCACCTGTGCCTCACCAGCAACAGGTTGGTGGGACCTGACATCATATCCCACCAGCACCTTTGTAATTATGCGTTGGCTTGTAAAGTCTTCTCCCAGTTTCTAGCTTTGAGTGACACCCTGTTTTTCTTCCCTCGATGATTTTCTGCCCTTCTGTGTCAGTGTTTTTCCTCCTCAATCTCTGAGCCAGCAGCAACCCCCTTGTGAGCAGCTCTGTCCCTGTGAAGTTCACACCAATACCCCTCACTGCCCTTTCTGAATGGGTGTGAGACTGAGCCTCAAGCACCACTCTGGCTGCTCTTGGTTCTTATGTATTCTCAGGGATGTCTCATAACAACGTTGAAAGAGCACTGATTCCTAACCCTTGTTTCTTTCAGGTGATTTTCCATATCCAGCAATGGCAGGAGAAGAAAGCACCGTCCTCTTGGAAGCACTGGAAGGTCTCACACTGGAAGACTTCCAAGACTTCAAGAAGAAGCTGCCACACGTTGATAGCAAAGAAGGCTGGAACATTCACAGGGATGAGCTGGAGAAGTTCACCCATCCTTCCACACTCATCAGATTTATGCACAACAGCTATGGGGAAGCTGCTGCTGTGGACATTGCCATCGGATTGTTTGAGGAGATGAACCAGAAACACCTTGCTGAAAAAATCCTTGATGAGAAGGTGAAAGGTAAGCAGCCAGGGTAAATTTTTATCTCCTTTGGCTTTTGAGTGCTGGGGACAGGGGGAAGTCAGTAAAAGAGAAGGTTTCAGCTTTGTGGTGAGTCTGGAAAGCGAGGGTGTCCCACTCATCCTATCAGCGTTCCTCTTCTTCCTTGCCCCATAACGCACTGAGGCCACAAGCAGAGTAAGGCCTGTGGGGACAAGGCCAGGGTGCCTGGAAGGGGCAACAGTGTTCCTGTACAAGCAGTCACTGCAACCACAAGGTCCAAGCAGGCAGATGTTTGCTAAGCTGGAAGACACAAGGGACACCTTGGCGACATTCCTGGTAGGGCTCAGAAGAAGAAAGAGGGCTCAATGGATGGCACATAGGAAGTGCATAACTGAATTTTCTATCGAGGCAGAGCACTGAAATAAATGTCCTGTGCTGTTGCTGTGTCAGGAGCATGGCTGTGCTTTGGAACTGACTCCACTTCTGTCTGGTGCAGAGTACAAGCAGAAATACAGAGAGCACGTGGCCAGAGAGTTCCTGCAGTACAGAGAGGTGAATTCCTGGCTAGGGGAGAACCTGTCTGTGAGCGACCGCTACACCAACCTGACCATAGCCAGGAGGTCTTGGAATCAGCATGGAGATGAGCCTGGAGATGTCAGCCCTGACACTGTCACCACACAAACGCTCTTTGAACCCAGCAAAGACGGCCAACTGCAGCGGATCACAGTGCTGGTGGGTGCCACTGGCATGGGGAAGACGATGACAATCAGGAAGGTGATGATGGATTGGGTGGAAGGGACCCTCTGCACACAGTTTGACTATGTCTTCTGCATAGACTGCAAGGAGCTTTCCTTTTCCAAAGAAGTGAGCATGGTGGACCTGATTTCAAAATGCTGCCCTCAACAGCGAACACCAGCTGGAAGGATTTTGGGTAACCCGGAGAAGATCTTGTTCATCTTTGATAGCTTTGAGGTCCTGGGATTGCCCTTGTCTCAGCCCAAGGACGAGCTGAGCACTGACCCCACAGAAGCCAAACCACTGGAAACCACCCTGCTGAGCTTGCTCAAGAGAAAAGTCCTCCCTGAGTCCTCTGTGCTCATTGCCATGAGACCAACAGCTCTCAAGAGCCTGGGGCAGTGCCTGGAGGGTGAACATTATGTGGAAATTCTGGGGTTTGCAACAGCTGCAAGGGAGGAGTATTTCCACAGGTATTTTGGGAACAACAATAAAGCAGATGTGGCCTTCAGGTTTACCAGAGGAAATGAGGTCCTCTACAGCTTGTGTGTCATCCCCATCATGAGCTGGACTGTCTGCACCATCCTTGAGCAAGAGCTGTTCAAGAGGAATCATCTTCTTGCATGCTCAAAGACCACCACACAGATGATCTTGTTCTACCTCTCCTGGTTAACAAAGCACAGAGTCAGTAATGCCTGGTGGAACCTGCAGCAGTTCCTGCACAAGCTTTGCTCCTTGGCTGCTGACGGCATCTGGAAACACAAGGTCCTCTTTGAGGAGAAGGAAATTGAGGACCAAGGCTTGAATCAGCCAGAGCTTCTCTCCCTCTTCCTCAATGAGAAAGGTTTGGAGAAAGGTACAGACCACGGGAACGTCTACAGCTTCAGCCACCTGCACCTCCAGGAGTTCTTTGCAGCAATGTTTTACGTCCTGGAGGACCAGGAGGAAATGCTCAGTGACTCACGGATCCTTGCGAAGGATGTGAATATGTTGTTAGAAAGCTACCACACGTTTAGGATGGATTTAAACGTGACGGTGCGGCTCCTGTTTGGTCTGGTGAACCCCCAGTCAGTAGAGTATGCAGATGAAGGAATTGGGTGCAGAATTTCATTGCGACCTCGGGAAGATCTGCTGAGGTGGCTTCAGACAAGACACAGAGACCTTTGCCATCCCCGTACAGGGATGACAGTTGAGGATTTGGACACTTTCCACTTTTTATTCGAGACAAACGAAGAAAGCTTTGTGCAGGGCGTGTTGGGCAGATTCACAGGAATAGCCTTGCAGGGCGCCAAGCTGACACTGTATGACCAGGTGGCTCTTTGCTTCTGCATCAAGCAGTGGGCTGGGCTGCTCAGTGTCACCCTCCGGAGCTGCTCTTTCCACCAGCAGCATCGCAGGCAGGAGCCAGCCAAGGGTTTCCCCTGGTGAGTACTGACTCTGTGCTCTGTATCCACAGAGGTTTCCCCTTTTCCCTTGCAAAGCAAAGTTCTGGAACATTCTGGAATTGTGAATGCCTCTTTCAATCCAAACACCACCTCCTGTCCTCACTGATGGTTTAGTCCCTTAGTGGAGGATTTTACCTCTACTTGGTGAGAACTGTGGGACAACGTGGCCATACTCATGCCCTTCTTCCTAGGCAGAGCTGGCGGCAGGAGGAGCTGCACTCACCTCTGTACCCACTGTGCCAGGCACTGGGGCATCCAGGCAGCTTACTCCAGAGCCTTAGGTATGGATGGCCCTGCCCTGAGGCACTGGGTGGGCACCTCCACAGGGTGAGGGGCTGCACTCCCTGTGTGCTGCAGGGCAGTGGGGCAAGGTGTGCCTCCCTCTTGCAGGCTGCAGTGGTGCGGGCTGACAGAGGGTGACAGTAAGGCACTGGGGACGCTGCTGGCCACACTCCCCAGCCTGGTCCACTTCGAGCTGGGCGACGGAGCGCTGGGTGATGATGGTGTGAGGATGCTCTGCACCGGGCTGCGCCAACCTGACTGCCGCCTGCGTGTCCTGCGGTGAGCAGTGCCAGGATGCCGCCTTCCCTGCGCGTCCCCATGGGAGTGTGTCCCCAAGCATCCTCCAGGGAGGCCGTGTCCCTCTGTCCCACCGTGGCTGGGAGGCACAGGGGGACCAGCACTGCTGAGGCTCTCTCCTGCAGGCTGCGGTACACCCACCTCACCAGTGCCTGCTGCCAGGACCTCACCGTAGCACTGGGCACCAGCACGTGCCTGGAGGAGCTGGATCTGTCCTTCAGCGCTGGGCTGCGGGACGATGGCGTGACGCTGCTGTGTGAGGGGCTCCAGCACAGCAGCTGCCAACTGCAGGTGCTGCGGTAAGGGCACACGGCACTCCGCACACCAAGCGGCTGCAGTGCCACCACCGTGCCCTCAATGCTGCGATCTCCCCTTTGCTCTGCAGGCTGGGGAGCTGTAGCCTGACCGGCGCCTGCTGCCAGGCCCTGGTGGCATGGCTTGGGCACAGCCACAGCCTGAAGTGCCTGGACCTGACTGACACTGAGCTGGGAGCTGGGGCCTTGCTGCTGCTGCGGCAGCTCCGCCATCACAACTGCACGCTGCAGACGCTGGGGTGAGTGTGGCCATGTGGACTTGGGGAGCAGGCGGGTCCTGCTGGTGCTGAGGCTGTTTCTCTGTATTCCCTGAAGGCTGAGCACATCCACGCTGAGCAAGGATGCGCTGCAGGAGCTGGTTGCCCTGCAGGCACTGAAGCCCAACTTGAAGGTCACAGATCTACTGGAACACGAGGCCCCAGAGACGGGTGCCATGGCACGACTGACCTTCCAGCGCAGCGTCTGGGCAGGCAGGGGGGCAACTGTTCAGGGGCGAAAGGGGCTCCCCTCCTGTCAGGCAGCCCCTCCCCACACTAGGAGCCTGTGCTAGCCGGGCTGTGCCCTGCTCTTCCTGCTGGTAACATTCCCCCCTGGTGCCAAAGGAAGGCCAGCAAGTTTCCAAGCAGTTTGAAGGCTTGAATAAAAAAGGGACGTTCACATTGAAAGTATTTTACTGCTTAATAAACGCACCTTAACGAGATGTGTGGGGGCAGCAGCAAGAGGAGCCACGGAGCTGTTCTGCAAGGCTGGGTGACACCCCCACACCAGGGCCACCCCTCCGAGGGGGCAGAGTTGTGTCCCCAGCCAGAGTTGTGCCCCCTCACAGCAGGACGCCCCTCCCTGGGGCGCTGATGTCAACATCATCATAGCCCATCTCCCTGAGGGTCTCCTCGGGCACGGCTGTGGCATCATCAGAGTCTGCACACAGCATCCCTGTGGTGCCACTCCCCTCCTCGACCCCGATGCGATGTGACGACTGCATCCCTGAGCCCTGCAGCAGAGAGCCTGGAGGGAGGATGGTGGCTGCAGGCACAGTGGGGATGCAACAGTCCTGGCTCAGGGGCTGAACCCGCTCCCACCTGCTCGGCCGGGCCCCTCCCGGCACTCAAGCACCCAGCTGTAGTCCAGCTCCTCGTACACAGCCTCGGAGCCAGCATCCTGGCTGGGGCCTGCAAACAGTACACCTGTCACCGGGTCCCCAGGCATCCCCAATGGGGAGAGACCCCAAAGTGACACCCACCTGCACGCTGAGCCCGAGTGCGGTGCACCTGCAGGGCCAGGGCAACCAGGGCCAGGCACAGCAACGTGCCCAGCAGCACGCACAGCACCGTGGGCAGCGGCACGTCTCCCAGCGGGACAGCTGAGGGACAGAGCGGGCAGCGTGAGGCCCCTCGGGGACCGCCCAGCAGCGGGGGCGAAGGGCTCGATAGAGCCACCTGCGCACACGTCCCCGTCCCGACAGCCGCTCCCCGGGGCCGGGCTGCCGGCCACGTCGCTTCCATCCTCATCGCAGGCCACGTGCGTGACCCCGGCGGGGCCGCAGGACCGCAGGCGCCAGGGCGTCGAGGAACAGCGCCAGAGCGAGCGGCACCCTTCCTCGCAGCGTACGCGTCCCAGCCAGGCGGGGCCGGAACCCCGATCGGGGACGGCGTGCAGCCTCCCCGCGGCTCCGCAGCCCAGCTCTCGGCACACGGCGGCGGCCGCGCCGGCGCCGTCTTCTACGGTGCCGTTGGCGCAGACGCGGCCCCACGCGCCGTCGTGCAGCAGCTCCAGGATCCCGCCGCAGCCGCCGCCCTCCAACCGCAGGGCCCGCAGCGCTGCCACGGGACGGGGCGCTCACGGCTCCGCATCGATGGCGGCACCGCGACGGCAGCGCCCGCCCCGCGCTCACCTGAGCACACCGCCCCGGCTCCGCCACCGCCGCCGCCGCAGCCGCCGCCCCTCGCCGGGCAGTCCCAGAGCGCCGCCTCCGTCCCCGCGCAGCCCCCGGCGCCCGCCCACGGCATCCCGGTACCGGAGCCGAAGCTCTCGGGGCCGGGTGCCTCCAGAGCCGTCCCGCAGCGCAGCTGGCGGCAGACGACGGCGGCGTCCCGCAGGCTCCAGGCGTCTCGGCACACGGAGCTCCAGGCGCCGTCGATGTACGCCTCCACCCTGCCGGCGCAGCACCCGGGGCCGCCCGCCAGCCTCAGCCGCCGGCTGCCTGCACGGGAGGGCCGGGCTGGGGCCGGGCGCGGATGCGCGATGCCCGCGGCCCTTCCCGGGACGCCCACCTGAGCAGACCACGGCCAGTGCCGAGGGGCCGCGGCCCAACCCCGAAGCGTCGCACTGCGACAGAAACTCCTCGCTGCCCTCGCACCGCAGCTCCGCGGTGCCCGAGCCGCCTCTCGGCGCGGCGTACGTCTTTTCGGGCACCCCGCAGCCCAGCTGTCGACACGCCACGGCCGCGGTGCCGTTGTCGCGGGATCCCGCGGACACGCCGGTCCAGACGTCGGGGCGCGGGGCCACCTCCAGGCGCCCGTCGCACCGGCTCTCCCCGCCCCACAACCGCAGGGTTTCGGTGGCTCCGGAGCATATGACGGCGGCCGCCTGGCCGGCGACGCAGACGGGTTCCCTCAGCACCGCGGCCGGGCACTGGCCGAGGTGCCGCTCGTTCCCCACGCAGCAGAGGCGGTCGCGCCGCAGCGGTCCTTTCCCCGTCCCGAAACGGCCCCCCGGCTGAACGGAGGCGGCCGGGCCGCAGCCCAGGTGTCGGCAGAGGACGTGAGCGTCGGGCAGCTCCCAGGATCCGGCGCATAGCGGTCCCCACGTTCCCCGCTCCTCCACCCGCCCGGCGCAGGGCGAGCCGCCGTCTGCCAGTCGGAACCCGGTGTAGGCTGCGAGGAGAGAGAAAGAGAGCGTGGCGGGATGCCGGCCCGGGCTGCGGACTGCCGGCCCCCGGCCGCACGCTTACGGGAGCAGACGACGGCGGCGGGGTCGGCGCAGCGGTGCTCGGGGACCGGCCGCACTGCGCAGGAGACCAAGAGGGGCTCGGAGCCGTCGCACTCGAAGGCGCCGTTCCAGAGCGGCCCCGGCGCAGCTCCGAAGCGGCCGGGCTCGGGCAGGGCCAGCACCGCACCGCAGCCCAGCTCCCTGCAGAGCACCCGGGCACTGTCCTCGTCCACGCGGCCGTGGCAGACGCCCAGCCAGGCCCGGCTCCGCCGCAACTCCAGCCGGCCCTCGCAGGCGCCGTCCCCTTCGACCAGCCGGGAGAACCCTGCGAGAGGCGCTGGTGGGTCCGGAGCTCGGCGCTGGGTTCCCTTCGGGGCCGCCTGCCCGCGCCCTTACCTTGACACACGACGGCGGTATCGTGGTCGTGATGGCCGTCGTAGGGCCCCCAGCCCTGAATGGCGCGGTGTCATAGCACGCTCTCATTCCCTCTGCAATTAACTACGGCCAGGTTGATGGGACCTTCCGCCGGGCCGAATTTTGAGCCTTGATAGACGCCGGCCGCCGAGCCACAGCCCAGCTGCTGGCACACCAACTCGGCATCCTCCATGGTCCAGGCGGCATCCGCCACCGTGCCCCAGCGGCCCCGCAGCTTCACCTCCACTCTCCCCTCGCAGGGTCCCCTGCCGGCCGCCAGCCGCAGCCCCACCGCCTCTGCACCGCAGGCGGCATCAGTCACGGCCGCAGCTCCTCTCGCCCCGCATCCCCGGCGGGGCCCTCACCCGTGCAGGTCACTCCCACGTCCCACTCGTGGCCGCAGAAATGCCGTCCCCAGCCGAAGTTGTAGCAGTCCTGCAGGGCCGCCTCCGTTCCCCGGCAGTTGAAGGGGTGCAGCCGGATGCGTCCCTTGCCCTGCCCGAACGGGGCAAACAGGGATGCCCTCACTGCGGCCCCACAGCCCAGCTGCCGGCACACCACACCGGCCCCGCGGGCGTCCTAGTTGAAGTCGTAGGTGCAGAAGGAGCCCCACTTGCCCTCATGCTTCACCTCCACCCGCCCGGCACAGCGATGGCTGCCGTCCACCAGCCACAGATGGGCAGATGCAGCGCTCATCTGTGGGGACGTTGCTGGAGCCGGGGAGGGCTGCGTCACAGCTGCAGGCCCAGCAGTCAGCCCACACACTTGCGTGCAGAGCAGCAGCCCCAGCACCCTGTAGGGCTCCATCACACCCCACAGACCTGACAGCCTGGGCCGGGAGGGTAGATATAGGCAGCCCCCGCTGCCAGGAGCCAATGGGTGCAGCGGAGGCCCCTCGCAGCTGTTATCAGCAGGGTTATCTGCCAACAGCCACCAATAATTTGCACTATGCCCAAATATGAGGCTGAGCTCCGCTTCAGCCCTCGAACAGCCCTGCCGGGGGGGCTTGGTGCCCGCACATCGCCAAGGGCAGCCACCAGGACCCGGCGTTGCGTGTCCCACAGCAGGGGCTGGGACAGAAGCATCCCCAGATGGGGCCTCGCTCTGCACACCCACGCCTGTTCTTTGACCCCCCTGGGCCAACGAGGTCCCCGTGCCCAAGGCAGGGGCACGCAGCACAGGGTCGTCCCCGCCTGCAGGTATGTGGCCCCATTGCCCCCCCCTTTGATGCAGGCAGGGATGGGGTGGTTCTACTCACGAGGACCTGGCGTCGGCACCGACCACACACAGCCTCCGGGACATCTGCGGTGCCACAGTGTGGTGGTATGGGGATGCACAAGCTCAGTTCCTTCAACCTTTCTGCTTAGGAGAGGTGCTCCAGCCCTCTGATCATCTTATCGGCCCTCATCAGGACCCACTCCAAGAAGTTGACTTATTATTAGACAAGACCAATTCATTTTTTATTTCTTTATTTTATTATTTTCCATCCTGGCTGGCATCACAGCCCCTTCCTGACCCCTGCCTGCCTGCCTCGGTTGGCTGGCTGGAGTCCCGGCCCCTGCCTGCCTGCCTTGGCTGGCTGGCTGATGTCGTGGTCCCTGCTTGCGTTGGCTGGAGTCGAGGCCCCCGCCTACCTACCTCGGATGGCTGGCTGCAGTCGTGGTCCCTGGTTGCGTCGGCTGGATTTGTGGCCCCTGCCTGCCTTTATTGGCTGGCTGCCTTGCATCACAGCTGGTGTTCTGTTGCCAGGTTTCCCATATTTAGAGCTTTTGTCAGGGAGGTGGCTCATGGCATCATAAAGCCTTGGCTATGCATGCCTTACAATGTCCCTTGACAACTAAAACATGGCTGCCCTGGAGGACTGGGTGACTTTGTCCTGGCAGTTGCCCTATGTGTCACCACTGGGATTCTGCAGGGCTCCATGTTAAGGCCGTTTCTCTATCTTGTTTTTACTGTTGATTCCAATAAAGATCTGTTAGTTGTACCAGTCAATTTGTGGGTGATGCTAAGCTGGGAGGAGTTTAGACCTCCTTGAGGATAAAGAGGCCTTGCCTTGAGATCTGGACAAAATGAGGGTGTTCCCATCTGCACAAAGAAGGGCGAGCGCTGGGTTCTGCACCTGGGATGGGCTGCCCTGGCTCTGTGTGCAGACATCAGGGGGGAAGTTCTGGAGCGCAGCCTGGCAAAAAGGGATCTGGTTTGAGGGCCAGTGGAATCTGAGCCGGCAGTGCGCCTGGCAGTCAGAAGGCTCAACCGTACCCTGGGCTGCGTCAGGCCCAGCACTGCCAGGCCAGGGAAGCGGCTTCCCGCTCTGCTCTGCGCTGTGCGGCCTCGCCTCCAGCGCTGGGTGCAGCTTGGGCTGCCACTCCATGAGATGCTAGGAGAGAGTGTCCAAAGGAGGGCTGCAGAGCTGGAGAAGTTTACATCACTGATCCTCCAGACGAACCTTCCCAGGAACGCACACTCTGTATAGAGGTGTAGAGATGTATATTTTGTCAGACACACCGCAAGAATATCCTGCACGAGAGCAAACCAGACAACAAGTGATGGCCTGCCCGAGGAAGCGCCTGAAGAGACATGGGAAGGCCTGGCATCATCCCCCAGTGCTCTTTGTTCAACGAAGACTTCAAAGAAAGTCGCCACATCAACAGGACAAGGAGAGCACCGAGACGTCTTGGAAACAACAGGATGGCTGCTGACTGACAGCAGGTAACAAATAACTTCACAAGTCAATAGCAAATGTCAACCTTCTGATAAGGTTGTGCACCTGGAGTACCCAGCCAGTGGGGAAACAGGGGAGGGGGGAGGCAAGGGGGAGCAAACAGGGTCTAAAGGCTGTCACGGCGTGTCCATAGGCGCGCTGCTGCTTGCGGGACGCCGCCATTGCAATCGCGAATCAATTCTGCTTTATCAGAGATCCCGTCCTGACAAGATGACTTGGCTATTTCCAACAAGACCATTCCCCCTTGTCCTAGCACTGCGACCCTCATAGTCACCATTCCCCTCCTCTTTATACGCTCCCCTCAAGTACTGCAAGGCCCTGGAGCCTTCTCTTCTCCAAGCTAAACAAAAAGTACCAGGGGGCACGGAGCACAGGCGGCCACTTCCAAAAGTGAAACCTGGCCATCTGCTGCGCTGGCCCGCCGTTTCCTCTCTGCGCTTCCTGCCCCACATCTCCAAACGGGCCTCAGTGCTGATGGATGTTCTGAGCCTCTTCTGCTTGGCCTGAGCAGCCCCAGCCACACTGGTCTCTTGCCTATGTTTCCTGACTTGCTGCACCTGGGGACGGAGAGCTTCCCTGGAGGTCTGCCACCTCTGTTCCGCATTCTTGCTCATGAGGACAGATTTGCAGGGTGTTCTGTTGTTTGAATCCCTGAAGAGCTGGAAGTTGGCTTTCCTAAAACTTAGCATCCTGATTTTACTCTGTCTGTCCAGCACCCCTCGGGAAGTGATGCAACAGAAGAGATGCCATCCGGAGGGACCTGGACAGGACTGAGAAGTGGCGCCATGTGAACCTAACAGAGTTCAACAAGGCGAAGCACAGAGTGCTGCACTCGGTTCAGGGCAATCCTAGATATGCACGCAGACTGGGAGAAGAACTCAGTGAGAGCAGCCCTGTGGAGGAGGATGTGTAGGTTGTGGAGGACAAGAGGCTGGACATGAGGCAGCAGTGTGTGCTTGCAGCCCTTACAGCCAACGGTATCCTGGGCTGTATCAACAGGGGGGTGGCAGCAGGCAGGGAGGTGACTGCCCCGCCCGTGAGACCCCATCTGGAGCACCGGACCTGGTGCGGAGCGAGGCCGTCCGCCACCACGGGCAACGTTCTCAGCGGGAAAAGCCCGGCGCAGCCCAGGGCCGAACCATCCCGCGGGGAGGAGCCGCGCGCACCTCCCGCCGCCAGCCGGCGCTGTGGCGCAGCCTTCGTTCTCCGGAAGCGGCCGAAGGACGGCGGAGGCGACGGACGATGGCGGAGCAGCTGCGGGCGGACGGCGTGCACAAGGAGGTGCTGCGGGAGGGCACCGGGCCGCTGCCCGACTTCCGC